AAACATTGCATTACCATGAAAATGGTACATCAATATCATGTTACAAAATGTTTTCGTTCATGAATTATAAAAATTTAAGCTTGGATCGTGCACTTTCACGTCTGTTCAAAAATGTGAGTGACAGTTAAGGGGTTAAGCAGTGGAAAATTGAGTAGTAAAGCAGTTTTTAACATTGATAATAATAAGATATGTTTAAGAAATGATTTGTGAAGGATTGTGTGACACTGAACTAAGGGCTGGTGAACATTCAGCTTTGCATCACAGCAATAAATTATGTTTTACAATATATTCAAATAGAAAACCATTCTTTTACTGGAAAGAACCCTGGACGACAGCGCTAACAGGCACTGTTATCAAATCTGTTGTCTGACCATATGAAGTGGCACTGCACTGTTTTGACTTTTTGAAGATGTAACTTTTGGACTCATTCTGTCACCAACTTACTGTGTCAGATTTTCTTTGTGTGTGTATTCAGGAGGATCTCATTGCCCGAGTCCTTCCTCACAGCGGACATCATCCTCAGCACTCTGCAGAACATCACTGAAGGGCTGGTCGTGTATCCTAAGGTGTGTGTGTGTACGCACACACCAATCTATTTTCAACAAATATTTAAAAGTTTTTATTAGGGCTGGCAATTATTTGGTATATTTTAAAGGGGTCATATGATGCGATTTCAAGTTTTCCGAGTAACGCGTCGTGTGTGTGTGTGTGTGTGAGAGAGGGGAACAGGGTCGCATCACAGGAGAGTGAACTGCCTGTCAGAAATCATAGCACGTCAGAAATCATAGCACGTCAGCTGTCTTAACCGCGGTTTGTGTACTGCATCATTACTGTGTCTTGTCACGCGACTCTGTTGCCCTTTCGGGCTTGAACTGATGGTAAAACTAACGACATTATTAACTGTCTTGATATTTACTTTGAAAGCTGAAGCTGCGATTATGGTAAGGGGCGTTACGTTTCCGACACGTGCTTGTGGTGTTCGGCCAATCACAATGCACTGGGTCAGCTGGCCAATCAGAGCACACTGCGCTTGTCAAAGGAGGGGGCTTTGTAGAAAACGAAGCGTTTGAGAGAGGCGGGGCATAGAGGACCTACAATAATGTACAGTATTGGAAAAATAATGTGTTTTTTGAACATTAAAGCATGTCAACATATTCTGTTACACCAAATACACCAAATAATGATCTTTAAAATAGCATCATATGACCCCTTCAATCAAATGAACTACATGGTATGCTGGTTACTTGGTCAAATAATTCACAATCAATTGCATAAACACTACTGTTCAAATGTTTGGGGTTGGTTTTTCTTTTAAGATTTTTTTTTCAAGTCATAAGGCTGCATTTATTTCAGGGGTGGCCAACATCAGGCCTGCAGAGTTTTGCTCCAACCCTAGTCAAACACACCTGAACACGCTCATCAAGAGTTTTTATCAAGGTTGGAGCAAAACACTGCAGGACTGTGGCTCTCCAGGACCGATGTTTTATTTGATCAAAATACAGTAAAAACAGTAACTGTTTTATATTTTAATATATTCTAAATGTAATTTATTCCTGTGATGGCAAAGCTCAATTTTCAGCAGAAATAATTCTATTTGGTGCTCAAGAAACATTCATATTAATATGAATGTTGAAAACAGTTGTTCTGCTTTATATTTTTGTGGAAAACGTGGCACTTTTTTTTCAAGATTCTTTAATGAATAGAACATTTGAAATGTAAATCTTTTGTATCATTATAAATGTCTTTACTGTCACTTTTAATCAGTTTAATGCCTTTGCTGAGTAAAAGTATTAATTTCTAAAAAAAAATAAATAAAAAACAACCCCCCCCAAAACTAAATCATACTAACCCCAGATGTTTGAATGATAGTGTAAGTCATAAGTCTACATCACAAGTTTACATAATGCTCATAAGTCTACATATCATATAAATTATAAATATGAGCAATATCACATGAGTAGACGTGAGATATGGCTGTATATCGGCACGCCTGTGATTCGGCCGTAGACACGAGGCCGCAGGCCAACGGACACACGTCTACTCGTGTGATATTGCGTTTATACAACAGTTCGACGGCACGAGTGTGTAAATATAGAATATATTTATTAAATATAGATATAGAAAAACAACAACAGAGTGTCTTTAAAAACCCTTTTGTGCAGAACTACTTCCTTCCGCCACAGATTCAAATCTCAGTTTGACAGTTTAACAGCTGAGCTCAAGGTCCATTACTAATTCGAAAACGTCATTTTAGAACTAGTAACGAAGGAACGTTTAGTTGCTTCATTAAAACCTTATTGTATCACTGTATTAAAAGCTCACTGTATTATGAAGAGAATTATGAGAGAGAGAGAGAGGATTTCATCAAAAATATCTTAAATTGTGTTCCGAAGATGAACGAAGGTCTTACGGGTTTGGAACAACACGAGGGTGAGTAATTCATTTTTGGGTCACCTAACCCTTTAAAAGTAAAAATAACTTCCGTTTCAGTCTCTTTCAATATAAAGTCTTTACTGCTGACTCGTAAAACAGTCTGTCGCCATCTAATGGCGGAACAATGTCACTTGAATCACCATCACGAACACACACACATTTTATTCTTTTATTTGGATCCACAAGACAAGCAACAAAAACGGAATCCAAATACTTTGGGAAGTCAGTTTGCAAGATGACAGGTACACATGGCTAACATACATTCACAAGTCCTTATATTTATAACATTCAGCACTCAAGGATAGACAAAACATCTTCGTTTTCATATTTGCATACTCCCTATAGTGGCTGAAACTGAACAAAATCTTGCGAGTTTTTTTGCTTTCTTTTTTTGTAATCCACTCAAACTGCAGTCCACTGTATATGTATATATATATGTATATATATATATATATATATAATTAAATGCCGCTTTGACCTATGCATCTGTTTTAATTGATGATCTAATGGTAGAAATTGATTTTTGATAATTGATTTATTTATTAATTGTATTTAAACTGTATGACAGTGTTTGCTGAGAAAACTTTACATTAGACAATTTATTCTTTATATTTTAGTACTTTTATGTTTAATCACATGAATCTAATCACAGCTCTAGTTGTTATTTTTATAACCTGAACCATATATTATTATTTTTTTTAAATCATTCTCTCTCTTTCTTTTTTTTATAGGTGATTGAGAGACATATCCGTCATGAGCTGCCTTTCATGGCTACTGAAAACATCATCATGGCCGTGGTGAAGGCTGGAGGAAACAGACAGGTCAGAACAATCAGTGATTAATGAATAAGAAATCTTAAGATAAATATATAAGAATCTTGTCTTGTAATTACTATTCTTTGTTGCAAATCAACCTAAAGATGTTTGAATAAATTACTTGCATTGTAAATATTTCTCTGTCAGTGCAGCAGATGTTGTAGTTGTTGCAGACAATTTCACGATTTAGTTCATGCAGGACAGACATCAGCACATGAAGCTGTATGACACTGCAGTGGCATTTTTGGTCTGCTAGGAAACAGATGCTTATTGTGCTGATGTTTAACGCTGACTGACATTTTTGTCTGTACTAACAAAAAAACTCTCAGGACTGCCATGAGAAGATTCGGGTGCTGTCCCAGCAAGCTGCGGCCGTAGTCAAACAGGAAGGCGGGGATAATGACCTACTGGCTCGGGTTCAGGCTGATCCATATTTCACCCCTATACTTGGACAGCTGGACGCCTTACTGGACCCCAAAACCTTCGTCGGCCGAGCCCCACAACAGGTACACATGCAACCTAGAAATACCTATGCAACATTCCACTACTGTGCTACTAATATTTATCACGTAATTTATGAATGATGTGAGCTGTAATACCTTTCCACTTTTTCTTTGTCTCAGGTTACCAGGTTTTTGTCTGAGGAGGTCAGGCCTGTTCTAGAGCCATACAAAAGTAATATGGACATCAAGATTGAACTAGAGCTCTGAGACAAACATACGAGACTGTGACACATCAGAATAGTATTTCAATAAAGAAATGTCAAGGTGTTCAATCTTTTGTGTGCTCTTTTATGTGGCATTTTGACATTTAACTCTCTTACGTCAGATGTAATTTTTACAAATTATTTTACACATTTACACATCTTTTTACACATTTTGACCTTTACTCTGGTATTGTTACGAGTTGATCTCTCACACACATATAAAATCAAAATATTACATATTTGAATTCAACTATGTAGAGTAACTTTGCTGAACATGTATTAGATTTAGGTTAATAAGTATATTATGTAACTTTTAACCCTTAAATGTTTCTGTATTGTCAGACATAATATATTTGAGAGGCTGGGAGGGAGGGAAGGGGTAATGGCCTAATTACCCCTTAAAAGCAACATGGCAGCATTTGGGAAAACAAGCATGAGAAGACTACTGACTTAAGGTAAATGTAACCGGAATCTTTTCAATCCCTGAAACCAGCCAAAGCTGGTCATAGCTGGTTAAGGGGTTTTGACCACTTCATTAGCAGGTCAGGCTGGTCTTAGCTCATCACCCTGAACAACCAACCAGCTAAAACCAGATGAACACCAGCTTGGACAGGCTGGGAGACCAGCTAAGACCAGCCATCCAGCATAGGCTAGTTTTAGCTGTTTTTTCAGCAGAAATGTTTGTTATATTTTAAGGGGGGGGAAAAAAAAGGATAACAATGTTCATGTTAAAAATTATTACCATAATAATACCACTCAATACTGTAGTATTTGAATAACTACCTTTTTAATATGTGGTATTTGAAAGGTACTTCAAAGAATAACTTGGTATTAGCATGTTATAGTTGTTTTTATGGGTGTTAGACCATGTACCCAGGATATAGATACAAACTATAACACTACTTATTTTTAGTATTCTGAGGTATTTTAATCACATATTCACGATATGTAAAGTAATAATGACCGTATTTAGCTGATTATGTCTCTGCTGCAATGAATGGCTTAACTGGCTATAATAAAACTTTTATGAGGGAGGAACCAGATTATCCACTTATGTTTAAGTGATATGGTGTTACTCATGGGCATGGCACAATTCATCTTGTGGGTGTGGAAAATGTGAAATAGTACAAGACAGTGGAAAGAGTCTAAGCACACCCCTCTACACGACTCGTGGTCGTATAACTATAAATCAATGATGCTGGCTCAAAGTCCATAGTCACACATGGAAACCTGTTGTACTGTCAGCTTGAACCAGTCTGGTGATTCTTCTCTGATTTCACTCATTAAAACGGATCGCTGGATGTTTTCATGCACCACCATTCCTCATACACTTTAGAGACTGTTGTGCATGAAAATCAGGAATCATCCCATGGTGAGAGAGAGTCAAAGATCATATTTTGTCTCCATTTTGACGTTTGGTTTGAACACTTGGCCATATCTGCGTGCATTTATGCAGCGGGTTGATGAGATATTACACCAAATACACAAAATAATGATCTTTAAAAAACCATCATATGACCCCTTTAAGGAGCAGGTGTACTGTTTCTGAGTGATATACATCACTATCTGAAAGAATATATGCAGGAGTACTCTAGCCCAATAATGTTGGAGGATCCAGTGGGGGCGGCAGTCATATTTCAGGGTGACCGTGCCACTCTTTATCACAGCCCTGCTAAAAGTGCCAGTACGTCGTACGCTCATTGGCGCCCCTTCAGCTGGTGGCGCCCTAGGCGACCGCCTAGCTCGCCTATGCCTAGAAACGGCCCTGGGTGTGTGTGTGTGTGAGATATATGTGCATTATGGTAATGTGAATTCTGGGAACACACATACTACAATCATCGTAGGCTATGGTGAGCGGTAAGTCATAGATTTTTAACATGTTTGAGGTCTCTTTGCTCACCAATGCAACATTATTTGATCCAAAATACAGTAAAAGAGTAATGTTATGAAATATTACAATAAAAAAAGTTTTGTATTTTAAAAATGTAATTTATTCCATTGATGGCAAAAGAGTTGAGCTGCTTAATATTTTTGTGGAAACGTCACGTACATTTTTACTATTTTTTTTAAAAGGGGTCATATGATGCGATTTCAATTTTTCCTTTCTCTTTGGAGTGTTACAAGCTCTTGGTGCATAAAGAAGATCTGTAAAGTTGCAAAGACTAAAGTCTCAAATCCAAAGAGCTATTCTTTATAAAAGCTAAGAGTCAACCACACCCTCCTAAAACGGCTCTTTCTAACAGCCCCCACATGTCTACGTCACGATGTGGGAAGATTTGCATAGCGCCGCCCAAATGTTCATGCAAAGAAAGAAGGCTAACTTTTATTCTCGCTGTAGTATTGTTGTTGCCGCCGCCACCATGTCGTGAAGAGCTGTGTGTTTTGTTGTGAAAGCGAAACTACTTTGATTGGCCTTCCAAAAGAGGACGATATCTGCTTCGTCATGCCTGGAGCTGATCCGTGCTGGTCGCTGAGGAAATATATCAACTTCGCGCTGTGGATCTGGGCCAACACTAGGTTGCTGTCTGGGTAATTAGCTGGTGAAATGGATTTACTTATTGTGGAGTTAACGAAAGTTATCATGAGCATTCTAAAGTTTGAAGCGAATGTCATAACAAATGTCAACAGTCCAGGACGATTTTAAAACGAGTGGTTCATTCATAAATTCGTACGACCTTACCTTACGCTGTGGAAATACAAACCGGAAGACAGAAGACAATGAGCACAATGTTAAAAACGGGCGGGGCTAGATATAGCTGCCGTATGGCTCAGGTTCCTCTGGTGTAGATTGTCTGAGTATGTCTGAGTATGCAGGCTAGGCTATATCTTTTAAAAAAGGAATAGAGCAACTCTCCTCAACTGAAAGTTTGTGGTTTGTTTGTAACAAGAGATTGCATATTTATAAATGCTTAATTCAATTTGCAATAGTAATAAACACTGCTAAAAAAATAACGTGTGACGGAAACGCTTAATTAAAGTGCCTTTACGTAAAGCAAACACTAGAGGGAGCTATGGGTCTGAAGTTCTCTTGTTTGCTTGACTTGTGTGCATAAGTTAATCTCACAGGTAGGCTAAATGTAAATTGTGTTTTACAAAGTCTTTAGTTAAAAAGCCACATTAAAATAGTGTTTAAGTAATTTAGGTTAAATGTGAAAATGAGAAATACTTCTTACTCATAGACATACATATGACAACTGCCCAGCTTGTGCCATTCAGTAAGTCAGTCAAATAAGCCTGTGAATTTGGACACAACACAGTTGGACATGATTTTCAGATGGGAAACGGCAGTAGAGAGCAGTCTGTGTGTCTCACGATGACATTCTTTCACATACACATTGCTCTCAATGGGTGGGGAAAAAACAGAGAAAAAAAAGAGAGAGAGGGACACGAGGGGGCAAATGAAGGGAACTTAAAGGCACGTTGAAAAGTCCTGAGAATCTGTTATTTCTTTCTCTTTTCTATTTTAAAATCCTTTCATGATCAGTGTTTTTCTAACATCTGAGCAATCCTTTTTGGATATCCGCTTATTTTGGTTTGGAATTTTTTAGGTAATAGGGTCAACTGAGTAATGCTGTCATCTAAACACTGACATATTCGCAGCAAAAGCTTTAATATAAGATACAGTTGATATGTAATTCAAAACCATTAATAGTGGTAGACCTGGTAGAGTAAACTTTAAATTCAATGGTAGCTCGTAAAAATTTAATCTATCTATCTATATATCTATCTATCTATCTATCTATCTAATTTTATTGGTACTAATAATTCAAGTTTGGTGAAGTTTGATTATAGATCTAATTTTATTGGTACTAATAATTCAAGTTTGGTGAAGTTTGATTATAGATATGATAATAGATATGAAGTTAAAGGGTTAGTTCACCCAAAAAGTCTGTCATTAATTACTCACCCTCATGTTATTCCAAACCCGTAAGACCTTCGTTCATCTTCGGAACACAATTTAAGATATTTTTGATGAAATCTGAGGGCTCTCTGACCCTCCCATAGACAGCAAGGTAACTACCACGTTCAAGGTCCAGAAAAGTCACTTGTGGACGCGCGTTCAGACAGTACCATGACACGAGCGTGTGGCGGCACCGGCGCTAACTCAGATCCGGCGTGATGACGTCATTACGCTGGATCTGGGTCAGCGCCGCCACAAGCCCCGTTCACACTAGCAGCGACTTTTGTTGCTGAGAGGAGAACGATCACATGAGCTCTACCGTCTTCTTTCCTATTGGCTGTTGCTCCCGAAAGCCGCTATTCATTTGCATAAAGTTGAAGGATTCTGAACTTTGTCGCGTCGTTGGACACGCCTCATCCGGTCGCCAACGGCCGCTGTCGCTCGTGTCGCCGGAAATCGCCAGCTCTCCATTGAAATGAATGGGATTGTGTCGCTTTGCTGTTGCGTGTCACTTGTAGTGTGAACGGGGCTACACGCTCGCGTCATGATACTGTCCTGAACGCGCGTCCACAAGTGACGCAGTAGAGACGAAAATGTGCAAAAAATAGTCATTATTTTTGTTTTCTTTGCGCAAAAAAGTATTCTTGTAGCTTCGTAACTTTACAGTTGAACCACTGATGTCACACGGACTACTTTGTCGATCATCTTGGTACTTTTCTGGACCTTGAACGTGGTAGTTACCTTGCTGTCTATGGGAGGGTCAGAGAGCCCTCAGATTTCATCAAAAATATCTTAAATTGTGTTCCGAAGATGAACGAATGTCTTACGGGTTTGGAACAACACGAGGGTGAGTAATTAATGACAGAATTTCATTTTTGGGTGAACTAACCCTTTAATAGCTCAAAGCCTAGTGCGACCGCTCCTTTACTCCCCTAGCCAACCAGAAAGACTGCCATCCTTATCCACCATGAAATTCACACATGGCATATGTGACCTTTTAACAGACTTGAACAGACATTTAATACAGAAGTAAAGTCAAAGGGCTCTGGTGTTAGATATGGGGTAAGCGTGTGTTTGGCTAAAGGGCATCAAGTCTGGCTGGCTCTTATGTAATGCCTCTGTGTGTCTGTATCAAGCGTGTGTTTGTTCTATCTTTGTTTTAAAAGCGCAGCAGGCCTCAGTTCCACTGTGCCTTTCACCTCGACCGTAATCTTCTTTCACGCCTGCGTTATTCCAGATTATTATTATCCCTTGCACAGCTCCTGCTGGGCAACAATAGCACTACCGTACTATCTGCAAAGCAAACGGCCTGCCTGCCACCTCATACACACACGGCTTATCAGCAAACAGCCAAATCCTGCCCCGAGAGAGAAAAAAGAAAGCGAGTCGGTTCGTCGGGTTTAAAATGTTCCAGCTATGAGGGCGGGAGCACAACAGAGGCATAAAATCTGATTTAGGCCTAAAAACCTTAATCTCCTCGATCCATAATCTAACAGGTCTGGAATTCCCCCAGCTGTTAGGAAAGCGGGAGCGAGGGAGCAAATGTCGTGCCGCTGTTTCCAGCGAGTGGGCATCTCCAGTCATGATCTCATCCCGCAGCGCTGGCACTCTCAAGCAGAGAGCTGCCCTTTTACTCAAAAATGCCAAGCGTACCACATTCCTACACTCTGAAAAGTCCCTAATTGCTGAGATACACATTCAAACAGCCCCTTTGCCCTCTTATAGAGAACAACCAGACACGACTTAATTATATAATTATATGCCATCGGACACAGACTGACATACTTCGGGACGTTTGTGACCATGCACAGGTTTATTTGAGGAGAGGAGAGTGCCGCTCTCATCTGCATGTGGGTGAACAGAAATTATTTTTATCAGAGGTTATATTAAGTGTCTCTGTTTGATTCTCTGTGTCTATATCTGTGTGATATCACTCTATACATGTTGCAATATAGCGTGCTGCTGGGATGGCATAATTTTGTAGGCCGACCTGAAAGTTAGCATCACCCTTGTTCCCTTGACAAAAACCCAATAGGATTTTGCATCGGCTTTTGGATAACTGCAGAAATTACGCTCTGTGACCAACAAAATTTTGTGATTCTTACATGTTTTTTATATCATAACAATTCTCACAAATGAACACAGGTTTTATTAATTTTGAAGCCTAAATGCAATCGCCAGAAGTAAAAAGTTACAGTTAGGCTACAAATGAACTACACCACTCTCATGTGACTCCAGTAAGCTTTGACAACTCTTTTAATCTTTATTTAAAATCGACAAGTTGAAAAGTTTGAGTTAGACTTGGTGTAATTGTGAGTATAAACATTGGGCTGTAAAATAGGACTAATGAGTAGATGAGTTTTCTTGTTTGGTGTGGTGTTTAATGTCCCTGACAACCTCTGTAGTCCCATTTAGCAACTGTTTAGCAGCTGCCTTTCATTAGATGCATAAAGCCATGAGTTGTGTATTACTGATGTAGTTTATGTCATAGAATAAAATGCAAAAATGTCTTGACCTAATTTCAGGCATTTAATTAAAAACCCATTAAAAAAACAAAAATTGACTTAAGACGATGGAACCTGAAGTGCAAACATGCTAACCTTTTCAGATTTTATTTCATTCCTAGAGCACATTATTCATTCTTCTCTGTCTTCACCTTCTCCATAAATTTTCTTTTTCTTTCCCCCCCCCCTTTTTCTAGGCCCCAAAGCTTGTGCCCACCTCCCAGTCCAACACAATACCTCAGGGAGGCTGAGGACTTCAGCTGAGTTTCTCAGCTCAGCAGTTTTGAACTCCTGTTTAGTTGTGCACAACTCACCTCAACTGAGCATTGTACATCTCAACTCAAATTGAACTCTGCCCATCCCAAGTCAAGTCAACTAAACTCAAACAATCTCATCTGAAGTCATATCATTTTGTCAAATCAACTCAAGTCCACTCACATCACCTGAAGTCAAGTCGTCTTGTCTCATTCTCAAGCCTCATTTGTCTCATTCTTGTCATGTCATCTTGTCAACTCAAATGAAGTCTTCTCAAACACAGTCATTTCATCCCAAGTCCTCTCAACTTGTTCACCCAAAAATCAAAATTATGTGATCATTTACTCACCCTATTGTTGTTCCAAACCTACATGACTTTCTTCTACTGAACGCAAACGAAGATGTTTTGAAAAAATGTCAGTATAGGGTCCAATGTTGTTTGGATTCCAACATTCTTTTGAGTTTTCCAGAGTTTTCAAAAGAAACAACAGGGTCAGCAAACACATTTTTATTTTTGGGTGAACTGTAAACCCTTTTCAAGTAATCTCAAGTCAACTCAACTCATCTCAAGCCTTCTAATGTTAACTCAGGCTCAACTCATCTATGCTCATTCCAACTCAAGTCAACATAGAGGAGCAGTATTGTGTTGGACTGGGAGGTGGGGAGTTTTTGGGGTCAAATACCCAAACAGCCATGGGGGTGCAGAGAGAAAGAGAGAGGGGAAAAAAAGTGAAATCATTGGATTTGTGGAGTGGGTGAAAAGAGAGATAGGATGAAATGCACAGAATGACAACATAATTATGATCGTTGGCGTATGGGTAAAGATAATCACACATAGACATTTATGACCTTTGTCACTGATAAAGATCCTTTCTGTTCACCCACACGCAGATGAGACTGGCACATGCCGCTGTTGACTGCTGGCTTGTGTCAGATCTCCCAGTGTGAAGCTGGATGGATGTGCCTCTGTAGGGCCCTTAACAGGACACAACGAGCTTTTATCATCACTTTTGGACTTCAGAGGAGAGTAGAAAGTGTTTAAGATTCAAACTCAGCTCAAACAGAGTCTCTATCTTTCTCCTTTTTCTGGTGTTGTTGACGCAATAAACAATAATTACCCAGTAAGGGCAGAATATGGGTGTATCTGAGTAAGATATTCCTTTTTAAACATCTAAAGCTCCAGGCTTCTCTGGCTTGGGTGAAGCAGTCATCTGGTTCATCAAAGTCCTCTGGGTAGATCGGGCTCTTGTTTAGTGGTAGACACAGGGTGCATGTGTGCTTTGAAACGTCTGTGCCTTAGGCTGTGTTTGATGTGTGGCATGGTGGTGGTTTCACATGGATCTTAGTGGCTTTGAGATGAGCACATTTCGCTCTCTGGGAAAATGGAGCAGTTCAAAGAAGTTTTACATTTCGGGATGTTGTACTGTCCTGCTCCTGAGAATGTGGATGTGTTACTATCAACAGGTGTGCATGTAGACTGGTTTGAAGATGTTGCTGTTTGATGCCTTTTTTTAAACATGTAAAAAATACTTTAAGCTCCACACATTGCACACAAGAGATGGCTGTGTTGTAAATGGCTTTGCTTTATAAAATAATACCCACATTGATTAAAAAGGTTGCTTCATATAACATTTTTATTGGTTAAAATCTGAAAACTGTTAATTTCAGTAATTTGATAAACCTGTATCAGGTTACGAAACCCCAAAACAGTCCAAATGAATGTTCATCCGTTCTCTGATAACCTTTGCAAGATGCCACGCTGTGGTTGAGACCTTTTTCTTGAATACTGTGACCTTTTCCCCAGACCAGATGCCTTAAGAAACAGTTACTGGAAAGCTCAAGCAAGGTGGATATTATAATGAAGAACTATTCCATTATGTAACCATGATGACGTTTCAAAACCTGCTGGTGGGACATCGGCTCCAAAATTAGACCTAGGTGTTCTGTCTACACAGTTGGTGTAATTAGGGTTAAGTCAGGTACACTTATTTTATTTTTATTTTTGAATTTTATTTGATTTTATTTTAAGTTTACTTATTAAAAAAAAAAATGTCAGACTAAAATCTTAAAAGCCAAGGCAGACTGTACATCATACAATCAGATTTACAATATACATCTTGACACTGTTGATGGGCACTTAATCATACATTCTGACACAGCTATTAATACAAGAAATGGAAATGGTGCTGCACAAACTGAAGTAAGTTCTGTTATAGCAATATTTCACTGTGGAAAACAACAGGACATTTTCAGTATGCTGTGCGAGAGTGAATTTGCGGACTGTACTCAAAGCAAGTTATTGCTGTTAGTACTATCATAACATGAAGAAAATATGCTACAATATTTGCATATCATATAAAAACGATATTGAGTACAAGTTTGTAACTAAACATCTCTCAATTGCTCTGCTTATCGGCTCTTATTTAGATGGCTGTCATGGGATTCACAGTGCAGGACTGCAGAACTTTATCAGAGATTCATCACGACGGCAATTAATCAGCTGTTGGTGAGTATTTATTTATTCAAAAAATAACACTGCCAAACTTACATGCTAAAAAACAACAACTTACTTACACATAGTAAGAAATGGTCAAGCGACGGCTGCCGCGACCGCTGCGCGGTAAACTAAGGTTTTTTTTTATACCCGTCTAACAAAATACTAAATTAAATCAGCTGGACACACTTTCCTTATTTTTTCCACAACAAATGGCCAAGCAAGCGCAGACACTGACAAGATACGCGATACAGAACGAGACCAAACGCGAAATTTAGTATTTCATACTAAATGATTGCAGATTTTGCCTTATGACTAAATCTATTTTTTATGGTTCCCAAAATATGTCTCAGGTGAAAAAATGGGGCCAAAACCCTTTAGGGTATGCTTTTTTGGCCTTTTGGAAACATAGCAACTGATCGGTGCACGTTAGGTTTTTCATTATATTTTGATATTTGCCCCAATGACATGCAGCATTAAATTTGGATGCATTTTAAAGTTAATCCTGTGATGATTCATCCTCAAGACATTCAGTCTGAGAACAAACCCCTGGGATTGTTGGAATACATTGCAGTTCTCCCAGGCCACAAACCACTCATGTCATACAGGCTTTCCTCCTCGTCCTAAAAAAGACAAGCTCCACTCTTATTAACCGACTGCAGCTCGCTAAAGGATGATGTTGAGAATAATGGAATAGAGGTCTGTGTGTGCTGACCTTTCTGAGCTAAACTTGGCCAGCCGGTGTGAATGTGCTCCTAGTCTATTGTGTTCACAGCCGTTATCATTGTATTGCAGTTTCCTCTGTTCAAGAGAAAAAGAAAGGGAGAGAGAGAGAGAGCGCTAAAGCTGCTGTTGGATCTTAGACATGCTGAGGTTGTTCGAAATCTGGAAACATAATTGATATTAATGAGACCGTTTTAGATTCCTGAGGAAGACGGCAGGTTGATCGGGCAGGACAGGTATATATGCCCAGCTCCTGATTTGGGCCAGTATCTACTGTCCTATTTAAAACCACACCTATGTGTCAGTAAACAAAGAAAAACTCATTTTGATTAAAATGAAATTCATAGATTGAAGTTATAATTATAGTTATAAAGAACTTAAATTAAATGGATTGTTTGTATCTGCTTTCTTGGTACTAAATGGCCATCCATCACCTTTCCTAGTGCAGGAGATTTAATGAAACCATGTCTTTCGTGAGGTGTTTCTCCTAAAACTCCTTAGGAAAAAATGAAAATGAAGTGAATAGTTCAGATAATTTATGATGATATAAAGAGAACTCATAAAATTATGAATGCTTATGCAATTTAACAAATTAATTGTGACGTTGTTTCGGATAAAGCATCTGCTAAATGAATAAATGTAAATGCATTATGTGTCATAAACTAACAGGGAAGCATTTATTAATGTAGTGTTAATTTCTTTTCCATTTAAAAGTTTAGGGGTCTGTTGAAAGAAAAAAAAATACTTTTATTCAGCAAGGATGCATTAAATTGATCAAAAGTAACAGTAAAAACATTTATAATGTTACAAAAGACTTTTGTTTTTAATAAATTCTCTTTATTCATAAGAGAACCTTGTGCATCACTGTAAAATCAAAAATACTAAGCAGCACAACTGGTTCAGCTTTCAGCTTTAACATCACAGGAATAAATTACATCTTCAAATATGATATAAAATCGAAAACAGTGATTTCAACTGTATAGTATTTCACAGTATAACAGTTTTTACTGTATTTTTGATTAAATAAATGCAGTCTTGGTGAGCATAAGAGACTTATTTCAAAAACATTTTAAAAAATCATTCTGACTCAAAGCGTTTGAACGGTAGTGTATATTATTGGTCGTTGTTAATTCCTAATATGTCAATGTGTAAAAATCTTAAATGTTAATATGTAGCATATTAACATGAATAAATGCTATAAAGTTTCATTTATCATTAGCTTAATGCATTAGCTAATATTAATGAATTGAATCTCTGTTCAAATTTCCCCCAATTTCTATTTATTGCTTCCATCTCTCTTGTGGGATAGAAAGAACAAGAAACAGAGGCAGTGAGTGAGAAAGAGATGTGATTGGCTGAGGAATTTTGGCACTGTGTGAGTCTGTGTCCACCTGCAGATTCCTCTCACAATCCGTTTCACTCACAATACACCCACAGGCCTGCTCTCTCTGCTCCTCCAACAGGGGGCGCACTTGTGCTCGGTGGTATTTGCGTGACTAATTTCACACTCTCTCCTCTGCCCACTCGTCTCTCAGTCAGATGCATGGACAAAAGACATGGTGTCAGAGAGTGGGTGAGACGATGGGACTGTTGCCATTGGCAACCTGGATACCAACACAGTGATGACCCAGGGAATACCCTGTGTCTAATGGAATAAATGGAGGCATTGAGGGAGAGGGAGACAGAGAGTGAGAGGAAGAGAGAGAGAGTTTATGTCTGACACATCAGAAAGACTGTGTGAATTGAAGTCCACCATTGTCTGCTGTATGAGAGTCCAGCTCAGAGATGACAAAGATGGACTGCTCTTAGACCAGTGTGTGTGTGTGTGTGGCCTTATATCTGTCTACAGCTGATCAAACTGACCCAACGTTGTAGTATTGTGCAGCCAGTTATATTCATTTTAAAGACAATCTTTAATTGACGACATAAGATGAACCCCATGTACTCAGAATGAGATTGTAAACACTGAAGTGTACGGGAGTTTTCTGAAGTCAAGGGGTGAGATTTTACTCCTATCAACAGGCAGCCAGCTGTCAAAATTACAGATTGTGCTTTTAACTGGAGGTCGTAAGGCATTTGGGGTGTTTAATGGGTTTGACGCCTTTTTGACACAGAACAGGAAAATGTAAGGACGATAAAAAAGTTAAATGGAGATACAAAGGGATGCTACCCTCCCACTGAGAAAAAAATAGCCTTTTAAAAGTTTCAAATTGCTATATTCCATATAGATTATAGATTAGATTTTTCGATTTTCTCATTCATCAGAAAAGAGGAGTCCGTAAAGTACATTGTGGTAATACATCCTGTATTACAAGCTCGGCAGGATGTGCTACCCCTATTTTTTACCTTATTTATCCAAGCGGATGTACACCCTAATATGTATTTTCTGTCTGACAAGGTGTGCAACCTCTGTTTTAAAAGCGGTAGTATATTGTATTAAGTGTTTCCTGTTGACAAGATGTGCTACCCAGGTTGTGGCTCATTTTGAGAAAGAAGCCCATTTTTTTTCAGGCAAAAATGACAGCTTAAGCTACTGGTAGATCATCCTTAAAGGGTATGTCAAATTTTCAGAACACTTGGAGCTTAATGTTAGGCTCAGGACAGCTAAGCATAAGCTAGGTAGCTATTACAGTCAGCAGTGGAGATCACATGAGCTATCAAAGTGAATTTTACATGAGTACCACTGCTTTATCTTACTTCTTAAAAGATCATTAGGAACACTTTCTTTAAGAGAAATCTTTTACGATTTGCTTCATTCAGAAATTCGTCTGAAAAATGAATGTGTTTTTTGATTCAGGAACACAGACCCTTCTCAATATGCTGCATGAGATTACAGGCCGAGATAAAAGCACTCCTACGGCAAATTTGCACACGCCATCAAAGTTATCCTCCTATTGTTCACCCAACACACAGGAAGCCAGCATGTTGTGTTATTGTTGGATGACAAGACGACAAGTGAGGGAGAGGAACCAAGTAGAGAAGAAAGTGGGATTTGGGATGCAAGAGAGAGAAATCGGATCGGTTCTGGCATCTGCTTCTGCTACCTGCAGACGAAACCTGATTCCGATCCGCTCTTTGCAATTGAACCAGAGCTGTGAGGACACTGGGATTCATCTCTGAACAGGAAGGTGCAAAGAATGATGGGAAAATAATTGGTAGGGATAATGGCGGGGAGAGTGCCAGAAATTGGCTGATGTCAGACCTTTTGCATTGGTTGTTGTGGAGTGTTTCGGCCTTTGTTTTGGGAAGCATGGTAGCGGGCTTTGTTTTGAACGCACTTCATTCCATGAAACGCTTATTCTTTCTTCTCATTTATTCAGGTAAATAATTGACCAACAAAAAACATATTAAAATGAAGATACAAATGATACCAAACGAAACTCGTTCGAAAAAAGGGATTCTACAAACAAAAACGTATGAATTGGTCAAAAAATTATGTCTGACCCACTTCCTTTCTTCCGGCGTACTGCCGTCCAATTTACCACGCCCTTATGACGTTTACAATTTTCTTAATTAGCAAATTGAACTAAACAAAACACAAACAAATAATATTTAAACATAAATAATATAAAAATACTTTCTTAAATGGCTACAACATGGAGGTTTTGATTTTTCATTACAATGTTTAATTTGAGCCACCTTAAAGAAACCTTTTGTACCATATACACCTAAAATTTAGCCAAAAAATAGCAAGTGATTACAGATACAATGTATATATCATATAAATACTACAAAGTTTCATAAAGTTAAAGGGGTCATATGATGCGATTTTAATTTTTCCTTTCTCTTTGGAGTGTTACAAGCTCTTGGTGCATAAAGAAGATCTGTAAAGTTGCAAAGACTAAAGTCTCAAATCCAAAGAGATATTCTTTATAAAAGTTAAGAGTCAAGACTGTAAGTACGTTTTTTTTATATTTAAAGAATTTGCCACTGACGATTAGGGATATGCCGGTATCAAATTTTCATGTTGCGATTAATTGCTAATGCTTTTATTACGGTATACGGTATTATCACGGTATTGAAATGAAGTTACAAAAAAGTGCTGTCATAATACAGTATAACAGGTTTATTAAAGTTTTTCTTTTGATTAGTCTCCCCAGGTGTGTCTTATCTTGTTAAGCTTGTTATCTTGTTAAGCTTGTTAACCATTGTTAATATAATGGTTGTCTGTTCAACAGTCATTCTGTTCTTTGTTCCCTTTGGTTTTTGCCTTATTGTTTGTTCTAGTTTTTCCATGAAATACCAGCACACAGATCCTTGCCTCAGCCTGTTTTCCGCAGCTTCTCCACAACGTTACAGCTTTTCACTGGCATGTATCTGACTAGTACATCTTTGACCCTATATTTAGTATAAGTAAAATACTTAAGTACTGTTAAAATCAGATATTCTAAGACTTTTACTCAAGTTGTTTTGGAATTGGTGACTTGTAACGTGTAGTGGAGTAATTTTCACTGTAAGGACAGTAAACATGTCAGGCTAAATAATTTAAATAAATAATTGAATTATTCTTAATTAAATTAAGTGCAGTCACTTAAGTGAGCCTAAACCTGCAGCTCAACAATAATCAGAACATAAATTATTTTCTGTAAAAAAAACTAAATTCTTCTAAATGAAAAAATGCAGTCACTTAAGTGAGCCTAAACCTACAGCTCAATAATCAAAAACATAAATCAAAACATAATTTCTATAAAATAAATAAATCGATAAAAAATGCAGTCATTAAACCTGCAGCTCAACAGGGTTTTTGGAGACATGCTCACTTTCTACACATTCCTCTTTCAGTCCAAGTTATTAGCCATGTTATCTGCCTCGGTAGCAAGCTAAATAGTATTTATTTCAACACTGAAACAAACAGCGGGTGGGTCTCTGTCTTGATCGGGGTGAAAGAGGGAGAAATGAAGATGACACCGATATATTACGTACGAAGTATTTATTTAGCGATCGGCGCTAAAACGTCATTTGTACGGAACATCGTGTACGGAACATGGTTAGTCTACGTAACCCGAAAAATTCCCATACGGCAGACTTCATCTTTTTCGACGGGGAAAAAAGTTCCAGGGATCCACCTCCTTCGGCCATCCTACACACAGGTGACTCTCACTGTCTGCTCGCACCAACCAGAGGGGGAGGGGTCGTGTGACTCATTACGCTCTTCGCTGCACACAACTGAGGGAGTCCTGCACTTTCCATCTTTCATGACACGTAAAAAACTGTGCATACCGCAGGAACGGTATAACGGAAAATTTTAGTGGTTTTGAAACCGTGACTTTTCCAAACCGTGGTATACCTTGAAACCGGTTATCGTCCCATGCCTACACCAAATACACAAAATAATGTTCTTTTTAGCAACATCATATGACCCCTTTAAAGCATATAATATTATGTATCTGTTGTAACACAACTTTAATTCTCAACCTACTTGCATTGTTAGAATACTGTTTTGTAGTGGGTTTGGAAAGGAAAGAGGTCTTCAGATTCTGCTTACCTCTAACCCGACACAAATGCAAATCTCGGTAGAAATGTTGATCCAAGATCTCGTTCCCCTTCTAACTGACCCCTAGAATCAAAGTAAAAATGAACCTTTTTCTAAATTAAGAAGGTTAACATGAAAGACAAACAAATGTTGAACTCTTAGCCTGAGATGTTTTACAACAAGGGTGTCCAATCCTGCTCCTGGAGGTCCACCTTCCTGTAAAATTCAGCTCCAACCCAGTCCAACACACCTGTCTGGAAGTTTCAAAGAGTCCTGAACCTTGATTACCTAATTAATGTGATTTTTAATTAGGACTGGAGCTAATCTCTGCAGGAATGTGGATCGCTAGGAGCATTTTTGGGGACTAAGTTTTGAATAGTCTTGAAGTCCTCGATTACCTGGTTCAGGTATGTACTGTATAATGAGGGCTGGAGCTAAACTCTGCATGAATAAGGACCTCTAGGAGCACGATTGGACATCCTTGGGGACTGTAAGTTTTGAGTAGTCCTGAAGACCATGTCTGCATCTGATATTGCATACTTCTCTACTATATATAGGCAAAAAATAGTAGGCCTATGTGAAAATAGTAGTATGTCCGATTTCACAGTTGTCATACTAGTAGACCTACTACTTCTGACAAGATTCTGAAGTGCGCATCCAGTAGACACTTCACTCTCATGAGGCCACGGGAGAGGATTTGTGAATTGCAGTAAAGCGACGCAACAGATGTTGATAGGTCACATGACAATGGCAACAATTCTTACTACACACATTCATACTACATAGAACATACTTTTTTTCGAAAGAAGTACCTACTCAGAGAGTGAGCAATTTCAGACATAGCCCTTGATTACTTGGTTCAGATATGCACTGAGTAATGAGGGCTGGAGCTAAACTCTGCAGGAAATTGAACCTCTAGGAGCAGGATTTGATGTCCTTGGGGACTATTTCCAATGAGGCGGGCAGAACCTTTAGTCTTTTGTTCAAGGCCAGATCTTGAGTGTAAAAATGACCAACACAATGCCAAGGTTTCTTCTAGAACACAGGCCTGGAGGAGGAAATGTCCAATGTGAGCACTTCCATACTGCACCACTTTAGAATTGTGAGTTTTTAGACCCATATCTAAGATGTCTGGAGATTATATTGTATATTATATTGTACTGTATTTTGCTCTATTGAAGACTATTGCCTGGCCCATCTCAGGGTTGTCTCAGAGCTAAACTAGGCCAGTCAAGGCTTCTCTGCCCACCCTCCCTGAGATGGTCAGACAGCTAGCATTGTTTTCACATACAATTTGCTTTGTTCTTGAGTGTGAGAGAGCTCTGTAACCCCACCGTGGAAAGCCTCAGAGAGAGCCCTGCCTTCAAGCATGAAGGCTTCAAGAGAGCCCTTCCCTGCTGCTGGAAACCTGTGAGCCCTGCCCTGACGCCAGCTAACTCCGCTCTCAGTCTACTTCCTATTAATCTCCTATTCCTTTATCTCTGATTTCTTAATTCCTGCCATTTTAAACCAACGTGAACTTCCATGCCAAGTCCAGCTTTATGTGGTTTAGAGCTGGTTTGATGTTGGTCAAAACATAGTTGCTCTGTTAGTAGTCGGTTAGTGGTGATTGACCAAGAAAATCATGATAATGTAGCTATAGTTAAGAACCCCAGTGGGGACATCAGCATCCAAAACACAATGTAACATGTCATTCGCATGTACTTGAACTTACAAAGTGTTAAAGGTGCAGTAACATTATAATTGCTGGACTGAAAGGGTCAGGTAGAGTTGGTATACATTTAATAAATAAATAAATAAATATATATATTGTAATAATAATAATTATTATTGTTGTTGTTGTAATTTCAAAGATTTTTAATTTAGAATATTTTTTAACCTTCACACCAGACATAACAGGATAGAGTTCTAAATGATGATGATTGTAATTTCAAATATTATTTTAATAACAATATACAAATTATTATCATAATTATTACTATTGTAATGCAATATTATTTTTAATTTATAATAATTATAACAACAATAGCCTTCACACCAAACATAGCGGGATAGGGTTCTAAAACTGCTGTTTGTTCACTAAACAGGAGAAACCACGAGGCAAGCACACAAGCCAGGCTATCCATCAACAGAACAGGACAAGTCACAGGAAGTTGTTGTGCAAACAGGAAGGACAGAATGAAGAGTGGAAGATGACGTCCACATCAGGGGAAATGCAATGCACCTGTAAGTTATCTGGAAGTGTAGTCAGTGCTTTCTCTCTCTCTCTCACACACACATACACTCACACACTTACTTGAGGGACATTTTGATTTTGTTAAGTGCTGCAGATATTTGCTGTTTTTGATATTTGATACCTGTTTGATATTTTGCAGTGAGCATCATATGGAATCCAAAATCCAATCATCATCTGAGCCAAATTGCGAGCCGCACATCCAGGCATGTAAGCCAGTGTTTGGAACTGTATGTATGTGTATGTGTGTACAGTATACATCAGTGTGTAAGGTGGAGGGCTCTTCAGGAGGTGTGCTGAGGTCATGTGTTTCCTGGCAGAGGAGTAACCCTGCAGGCATGAGGATATTAATACCACACAGTGTGGAAGTCCCGCTCCCACATATACACACACCCACACACACAGGAGAAAAGATGAAGATCACACATCCTCATTCGGTTTTGCACCACTGAAGTTGGTGGTAAACAAAGTCAAAGGTCACCGAGGTAAACGTGAGGTTTATGTCAAGCAATGATGTATATCATTTATCTTCACAAGAAAACAGACCGTTCACCTGCCTCCAAAGAGGCATTACCAGTGTCCTAAAGTGAACACAATTTTCGCTTGATTAGCGAGTGATAGATTGCATTTAGTTTACTGCAACATTTTAGAACCGGGCGTGAAGATTGCAGTCTGTCTGAGGAGGTAGAGAAACACACAATGGTTTTCAGAATATAGTTTGAAATGTTTCCTATTGTGTCAGTCGAGCATTAGATTTTATCCACGTCACAATGATGGGAAACGCATAACAATACACTGTAACTGGGTCGACGTAGACAGCTTAAAAAAGGATAGATTGCAAGACAGCACGACTACCATTCTGGCCAACTTTGTCCTACAAAACGGAAATGAATTAGTTTGATTTAACAATCGACAATTACGCATTATTATTGCTAATACTTTTAATCTCTAACCACAAGTATTTATTTTCGGCACTTAACTCGCCCCTCACGTTTGTGTTACAGATATGAATAACACCTCAGACTTAAACTGAATTGAGCTGAATAAATGACACAATTGTCTTCTGCTTTATAATTTAATTTATTCATAACTGATTAATTTTGCAACATTGACACTATTGTCTTGCTGCAGCTGCTTTATAGCAGAATTGGGCTTCGCCTCATTTTTGAAGTTTGCATTATTGATTCTGTTACTGTCCTGTTTAATTCTGCGAAGCTGCTTTGAAAATCTCTACTGTATTAAGTGCTATTAAAATATAATTGACTTGACCTCAAGTCATACGGCATGTGAGGAAAAGTGTGCTGTTACTTTTGTAAGTGCTCAGACTTTACTATTTTTTTCCCTGCAGACAATAAAATCCATAAAAAATAATTAAAGGAGGGGCTTGAGCCATATGTAGAGAATATCACAGAGACTTAGGATGTTAGGATGGCCTCTTTTGACTTAAGCCAGTAAGCAACCACCCAGAATACCCTAGCAACTGCATAGCAACGTGTTTAAAAACACTCCAAATGCCTTAGCAACTGCATAGCAATGCAATGGACACCATACACTCTAAAAAATGCTGGGTTAAATACAACCCAGTGCTGGGTAAAATAGGGACAAACCCAGCAATTGGGTTGTTTTGACCCAGCGGTTGGGTTACTACCCAGAAGGTTGGGTTAAACATTTAACCCAACCGCTGGGTCAAAATAACCCAATTGCTGGGTTTGTCCCTATTTTACCAAGCACTGGGTTGAATTTAACCCAGCATTTTTTAGAGTGTAACTTAGCATTGTGTTGTGTGATGTAAAAATCCTGTGTTACGTATGCAATTGCTGTTTTTATGTGTATTGTGTTTAGTATTCAGGGCACTTAAAGAAAACAGAAAGAGTGTGAGAAATGCCAAGAAGTATTAAACAGTCAAAGACATCTATATCTGCAGTAGACACCAAAATAGAGGCATGAGGAGCTCAGCGTTTGGTTTGGCTTTCAGGAATATTACTCGGAAAGCTTCTCAGTTACTGTGGTAAAATCATCTTTCATTTCACAGGGAGATAAAGCCACATTCCTCACAATGACGGAACCTGAGACGCGGTAGAAAGAGAGCTGCTGATGGAGGGAGGAAAACAGCTTGTCATCCATTCTCTCAGATCAACTAATAACAGAGAGCACGTGCTGGAGGAAACCTATAGCCAGAACTAATGGAAGCACATACACAAAAACTGAAACCCAGATCAAGTATGACGTTTCTGTATTATCCTGTTTTGGGATATTGTGATACAAAATACTGGATGGAAACACCAAGACGCAAATACAATTTTAAAAATATGCACAAAAAATGCATGCACTCGCTTAAGGTGGATACATTTTTCAGTCTTTAAGAAGATGTGCTCATAAACAACAATAAAAACACAGGCTGAATTCAGAATAGAATACTAGGACTCTTAAAGATACGACTTAAAGATATTCTGGATGAATTAAAAAAAAAAGTGTGACTTTGCCTAAACAAGTCATGTGACTGAATAGTTTCAGGCATAACATATTTTTGTAGGCAAAAACCCGGAATTGAGTTACTGTAGCATTTTGCACTTCTGGTTTCATCGTCCAGAAGTCAATGGTTTTCATGAATGGGCTTTGGTTAAATGGCTGAAATAAGGTCTGTGGTCAACACAACCTCAAGATATTTTTATGGTTTATTCTACAACATAAAATGCATCAGTAATACCCCTCTGTGTTTTTTTAAAGCTTTTACTTCGCTGCAGCACCTATTACCTGTTAGAACTGTATGGCATACAGTTAGGGCATTTTTGTCTGTTTTAAACCCCCAAAGTCCATTTTAAAATTAAGTAGTAAGATATAAAAGACTGTATAGTCACCGTGTGTGCACGATAGCTAAGTGTACTAGTGCTGTGCATCATTCTATGGTGTATGTTAGCACGACCAATCAGCATCCAGAACTGCTTTTTTTTTTCATAACATGGAGCAAAGTACACATGATTTTCAATTTAGAAGCTGTGTGAATCCAGCTTAGTGTTGGTATGCTTGTGTGTGAGAAGAATGTTGTGCATTTTTGTCTCTGTTTGGCTGGCATGGTGGGAGGAACACTGGGGGAGGGGTTTTGTTGCTTGGGATTTTCCCAGCATAACACACACAGGCCTGAAATCAAGCAGGTCTCAATCTTACTGTCATTCCATCCTGACACCTGCAACCTCATCAAAAAACCTGCTGCCATCAATCATAACTTTGCATACGACAGATTTATGACCAAAAGCAACTTGGTCAAAATCAGACCTTGCACAAATTTGTGTCGTTCATGGTCGACACTCACACATTAAGAATATGTGTGCGAGTGATGCAGCTATTACAAATAATTTTTCTGTCCTTAAAAATCTTCAAACACTCATATAAAGAGGCATTCCTGTACGTTCACATAGCCACAGATTTATATGCACCTATAAAAAAACAGACATCGCAGATGTTCGGAGCAAAAAACATGATGCAGATGACATGTGGAGTAAAAAACAAGATATCATGGCCACAAATTAACAGTTTGTAACAATAACAGTTAACAGTTTGTACTGTTTCATACAGTGTGCGTTGATGATCTTGCTCTTCGAGACAGAGCAAGCTTTATCTGTGGCTGAATGTGAACTGCGCTCGCTAAAATATTTGAGATCTTTTAAGAGACTCAGAAGAGGTCAAAGGTTTTTTGGCTCTAACTTGCTATGGCACGAGTGAGTCACTTTTCAAACACTGTTCCCAACAGAATCTAAAAACATCCAGCTGCAAAAAAAATATCTGTGTATGTAAAAAAATGCAAACAGAAGATTTTATGTAATATTATTTCTTTGTGGTGGTGCTGTTAAAGATCATAATATAAAATTGAAGCCAAGTTTGACTTGGTTATATTTCTTTCCCATCCGTGTGTTTACAGGCGCATCAACATAAGAGAAAGAAATGGGGAATAAAGAGGAATGAAGGGGAAAGAAGATGATCGAGTCCCATGAATCCTAAACTAGGAGGTGAATCCGAGGTGATTCTTGTGGCCAATTTGGTGTCACTTAAAGGCATAGTTCACCCCAAAATCTTTCAATCTCCAGTGAAAAAGTGGTCTCGTCTGAATCAGGAGAGAAATATGCACAGATCAAGCAGTGTTTACAAGTGAAAACAGGTCTGGACTGGAGTCATGTGGATTATTGTGATGTTTTTATCAGATGTTTGAACTCTCATTCTGATGGCACCCATTCACTGCAGAGGATCCATTGGTGACTAATGGCTCGTTTCCACCGAGCGCTGTGGTTCAGTACAGTACAGTATGATTCAGGATGGTACACCATAATCTGACTTGCGTTTCCACCGCCAACAGTTGATAGGCGTGCTGTATGCTGGAAAGTAGCGATCAACGTCATTCTCGCGCAAAGAAGAAAGTGCAACATTCTTTGTGTGTATGCGTGTGAAAATATAAAATTATAAAACACACTATATTATATTTTTTGTGTTTGCGTACTCTGATGAAAACAAGCATGCATGAGCAGTATGACGGAACGAGTGAAGGAGACGCTTCATTCCCCTTGTTGCACGCGCAAGTAACGGTTCTCTGTCAACCAATCAGCATTCTGCAGTGAGTCTAGCTCCACCCTTTAGGTACTGGACTACTGTGCTAGGTACCCCAACGCAAGGGTCCCAAAAAAGTGGTACGGTACAGTTCCCTATTTTGGTACCATTCACAACTGCTGACAATGGAAACGGTAAAGTAATTGCATACCGTAATGTACTGTACTGAACCGTACCGTTCGCTGGAAACGAGCCATCTGTAATTCAAGCATTTTTATAGCAAATTTGCATTTGGTTTCATATGTTGCATACACCTTTTTCAAATTTTCTCTTTCAAATTCACTCTGAAATGTCACATTATGAAAATAAAATGAGTTATGAATGGCAGGATCACTGTAATATTTAGATGTATGTTTAACATTTAGATGTAGTTCACACATACTTAAACTAATATTTTTAGCATTTAGCATAACAAGCTAATACATAATCGAAAACGGCTCACAAGTTGAGAGAATTTGCTATTATAATAAATTATTAATTATTGTACTATGTGTTATGCGTTTTTTGTATGCTTACAGTATTGCATCATTAGCTTAGCAGCATGTTGTGACTCTTCCTTGCGCTATTTCTGTTCTGAAACACAAATGGATATGGGGACACACATCGTCTGTTAAGAAGTAGAGCAACTAATGTGTTATTATTTTGCACAGGTTGTGAGGAGGGTGTATTCTTCAGGGTGACCACTTCCCTGTAATGTGGAAAGATTCCAGTGACAGTGCAGTATTGTATGTTTTGAGGAAGCACAGTTCAGGTTAGGCTACGGAAAACACCCTATTTGTCAGAGCTAGTTTTGTTTGAGAGGAGATGCACACTCACTCGGAAAAAAGTGCACCAATTCGGCCAGAAGAGGACAACAATAACATGTTGTTTGATGAGAGCAAATCAATGAATAATCCAGAGGCCCAATAGAATCCTCTTCATCACAGCAGAGATGATGACAATTGGCCCATTCAAAATGCTCTGCAGTGAAAGGTCCTGTGCAGAGGAGCGCCCATTTATCATAACTCATTATTTCATTGTGCTATCAGTGAATAGTATGACTTATTTGATCTCTCTCATTCTCAGTCTTTTTTTCCCTCTCTGTTCTCTCATTTTAGAGCTGTCTTTCTTTTGCGGTTTGCAATATTGCTTTGTTAAATCTATAAAACATTTAAGAAATTATGACTTTAAAAAATTTTTTTTTTTTTTAAATCAGCTCTTCAGAGATTAAAATAATTAAAAATAAATATATACACTACAGTTCAAATGTTTGGGGTCAGTAAAATTTATTAATAATAAATTAATACATTTATTCAGACTTTTATTATTACTTTTTAAAAATACTTTTATAGATTTTCACATTGTTAGAAAAAATATTTAAAATAAATGTTTTTAAAAAATAAAAGTTCTTTTGAAGTACATCAGAGAATCCTGAAAATTTGTATGTAAAAAAAAAAAAAATTGTATGATGGTTTCCCCAAAAATATTAAGCAGCACAACTGTTTTCAACATTGATAATAATAAGAAATGTTTATTTAGCAGCAAATCAGCATATTAGAGTGATTTCTGAAGGATCATGTGACACTGAAGACTGGAGTAATGATGCTGAAAATTCAGCTTTGCCAATCAAGAAAATATTCAAATAGAAAACATTTACTTCAAATTGTAATAATATTTCACATGATTATTATTTTAGTGTATTTCTGATCAAATAAATGCAGCCTTGTTGAGCACAAAAGACTTCAAAAACATTTTAAAAATTCTTGCCAACCCCATAAACGGTGGTTTATTAACTTTATATAGGCTACAACTGATTCTTTTTTTATACATAAATGCACAGTAATGTAATTGATTAAACTGCTATTTTGGTTTTAAAGGTTTTCAAACTTTTAGAGCACAACTGTTTTCAACATTGATAATAATAAGAAATGTTTATTTAGCAGCAAATCAGCATATTAGAGTGATTTCTGAAGGATCATGTGACACTGAAGACTGGAGTAATGATGCTGAAAATTCAGCTTTGCCAATCAAGAAAATATTCAAATAGAAAACATTTACTTCAAATTGTAATAATATTTCACATGATTAATATTTTAGTGTATTTCTGATCAAATAAATGCAGCCTTGTTGAGCACAAAAGACTTCAAAAACATTAAAAAAATTCTTGCCAACCCCATAAACGGTGGTTTATTAACTTTATATAGGCTACAACTGATTCTTTTTTAATACATAAATGCACAGTAATGTAATTGATTAAACTGCTATTTTGGTTTTAAAGGTTTTCAAACTTTTAGTCATGGATAGTTTTTTTCCCCACTTTTTTTCAATAATCTTGTACATTCATTCATTTAACAAGTGAAGTCTTAACATAAGCTACTTGAGAGGAAGCTATACTTTGTGAGATTGTTTCTCCCCCTTAAGTATTAATTGCTTTATTATTGCTTAATTATTGGCAATTATTAGAAAAATATAAATTTGTATAATATTCACTGTAAAGTTAAATGATATCTAGTAAAATATTTAACTTAAAAGTAGCCTATTTCTGGTTTGGTGTTGCTGAAGGGTCACTGGAGCTGTAGTGATGGGACTGTGGAGAAACACTGATCTAGACTTTTGTGCACCATGTTCAGTCCTGAACTGCGTTTCTAATTGATCTGCCACACTCTCACTGTGAGTGAACACACCCATGAGTCACAACAGCTGGCTTTGTGCTGTAATGGCTCTGCAGTTCTGAACAATAGTGTTCCTCTCCGGTCTTTATCCGGTTCATTGAGCCTTGCTGTTACTCGTGTTGTACAGCATCCTGTCCAGGAGCAAAGATGGTTATGACATCACATCACAGCAAGACAGAGCTCTGATCACAGTTATTACAGTGCTAAATAATTTCAGCACATTGATAAATTTAGTTACATTTCTTGCTAATTACGCTTTTTATCCAAATCGACCTGGGGACAATTATTAGTGGTGCCTGCTAAGGCAAAAATGTGGTGTAACTTGTTTTGCATAATTTCTGCTACAGACTTTTGCAAAACCTCAAATCGTTCAGTTGTTGATGCAAAAAAAAAAAAAAAGCAAA